AGGGGCTTCCTCCGACCGCCTTTGGGCCCGGCTGGCTGTGGTTGCTTCCAATAAACCACGACCAAAGTTTCCCAGAGTGGAGGCTGCAAATTTGGAAGCAGCAGCAAAGATTTGAGCTCCGGGGAGCAAACGTGGGGGCTGGCACTGGCCCCCACTTCAGGCATGACACATACTTGCTCCAGGGCCAGGTTTCCATGAGCCGGGATGAGGGGGTGGATTTATTTGGTAGAAAAAAACCACCCGTTTCCCTCTGCCCTGGGACCTGGCGTGTTCCCAGCAGCAGCTCGGTGGGGTGGCATCGTCGCTCAGCCGTCCCGTCTTCTCCTGCGGCTGAGGGTCCCCGCCCCGGCAGGACCAAGCAGCCTTTGGGGTGGCCTTAGAGCACGTACATACGTGCACAAGTGGCCCCCACAAAGACACGTATTCGGGCAGATGGATGTGCATTTATAGGTGGATGTTCAGCTTTCTGTGTGCACGCACCGCGATGGTTACACACGCAGAACAACACATGTATGCAGGCAAATTCATACGTGTTTGCATGTGTGTCCATCCATGATTTTTTTTTTTTTGAAAGACAGTCTGCAAATAAATGCTATAAAAAGTTGTTTAAACATGTTTTTGAAGGAAGCTCATCAGCAAAGGGGATGCACTGAGCCATTTCAAATACCGCAAACACCTTACCCAGCATTTCGCAGTGCTCTGCCGATGGGGAGGGAGCAGCTGTATCACACTGCTTCCCGCTCTGCGGCTTTCACTTCAAGGCCTGAAAAAAGTGCCAGAAATCACATGTGATATCTTTCCGTACCGCTCACGCTCCCTCTCAGTACACATGCAGCTAAATGCCAAAGTTGCCAACCTGGTCCAGCTGCGTGCGGGGATTCTTACCCCCAGGGTGGCTTGGGAACCAAGAAAAAAAAATTAATGATAATATTCATGCTTTCTGATACTGCTGGGGTGCTGAGGGCAGCGCAGGGATCTGCACCCCTCCTACCTCCCCGGGGTTGGGCTGCCAGTGCTGGGGGGCAGCTCTGACTTGGTGCAGCTGCATCCTGGGCTCAGCTTGCTGGGGATGTGAACCAGCTGGGAGAAATGCTGCTGGGGAACCGCCTCCGCTGCTCGGGAAATGCATTTAAGCTCAGGTCCTCAGCCTAGCTCCTTGTTTGAGACATTTTGGTTGATCTGGGATGCTTTTGATGGATCTGCTCTGCTCTTCTTGCCCAGGGACTGGAAGGCGATGCTCTGCTGGGTGAGGTCCCTGCCTGTCTTGCTGTTGCCCTCACCTCTTCTTCCCAGCCTGCTCCTGCTGGCAGATCTGCTGGTCTTGTTTTTGTGGTGATTGAGCAGCAGTTTATAAAACTAGCAAATGCAGATTAAAAATGTAAAAATACTCTGTGGTAAAGGGAAACGTGGTTGATGCTCCTGCGTGGGTAGCATCACCTGTCAGTGTTTAAATCACATCCTTCTGTGAACTATTTTCCAGGGCTGTGTTCCAGCACTGAAAGTCACATCAGCGTGGACAAGCACATAAACCCTGGGACGTTCCCATTTAGAAAGACAATAAGGAAGCAAGTGCAGGGAACATGAAGAAAAAAACCATCCTACTATTCATAGCTACTTTAAAAACTATTTTTACTTTGGCAGGCAGCTTTTGTTGCCGCGTTTTACATCATGTTTGTTTGTGGCTGGTGGCCAGGGCATGGATGCCCAGAGATGTTACCTTAGGGGAAGGGTTGCAAAATGGATGTAGGTCCATCAGGATGGAGGAAAAGGAAGATTTGCTTAATTGTGCCCTTGATTTCCCTGCTGACTGTGTCTCAGCAGCTCATCTCCTGAATCCATGTGTGCCTGGAGGCAAATAAGGACTCTGTAGAAGTGCAAATACAGCAGGAACTACATAGCCCAGAGGCTAAAGGAATGGTTGTGGAGAGGAGCTCTGGCTCCCATGCTTTGGAAAACCTTTGAGGCCCTTCTGTTCCCCATAAACTGCCTGTCACAGGGACTAAGAGTTTAAACTATAGAAAAAGCATATATATATATATATATAAACCTCTACAGAAAGCAATGTGGATCAGGGATGGGAGATAGGGAAAATCCTTCTTTGCAACCCTGTAGCAAACACCGCATTCCTGGCATCCTAGGGTTTGGGTTCCTACCATCCTAGGGTTTTTCATCTTCCCACCATAAGATAATGAACTACTTTAATTAAATCTGCAAGCTGAAGAAGGCTTTTGTACTTGAGTGGCTGGCTGAAGTGGTACTGTGCTGTAGTGTAACGTTGACTTTTTTTTTTCTGGATGTCTTTATTGTTGGCTCTGAGCCTGTGACGTGCCCCTGCTCTGCTTGTCTCTCTTTTCCAAATGGGTAGCTCAAACCTGG